GGCCAACAGCGGCGGCGGGAGGATGAGCGCCAACAACCAGCCCTGACCTACACACGCAGGACCTGGAGCCCGGGGCCAGCGGGAGCGAGACACCAGCCCGGCAAGGGTGCAGGCTGGCTGCCCCCCAGAGCTGGTGGAGGACACCTCACTCCCAAGTGCCCCCTTTCAGGGACTCCTTGAAGCCTTTCCCCTTTTTGGGAAGTGAAGGAAAAAGAGAGGAAACGCTTTGCAGTACCCCCTCCAGGTGAGGGGGGCGTTGGAGGCAGCAGGGACAGGGGAAGGGGTGGCCTGGAGCGCAGGTGTGACTGGTCACTCTGCTGAGGCTTGAGCCGAGGGTTGTTCAGGTTGAGCCTGGGCCAGCCTCGGGCTCCTCCCTGCCTCCCTGTGTCCCCTAACTTGCTTCTTTGTCCTAAAGGGATTGGGGTGCCAGCCCCCCCACCCCACCCTGGGAGCAGTTGTGGACTCAGTCTGAGGACTGTGGACACCGAGGCAGGGGCTTGAGACTGAATGCCCAGGAGCGTGTTGGGTGGGGCCTGGCGAGGCGTGAAGACTTCAGACCCAGCTCTGCGCCATGTGGAGTGGGGCAGGCAGGGGCTGGACCCCGGCATTTGCTTTCCCCACCCATCGCCCTGCCAGCAAGCACAGGGGTCCCCGACCTGCACCAGGCTGCACCGAGGTCCCTGGGGACAGGCCTGGGGTGGGCAGATGGGTCGGCTCCCCCGACACCAGCTCCCAGGGGCTACAGTCAAGGAGCCCCTGCAAATGGGTGGCCCCCAGGAGCAGGGCCTAGGGGGAGGCCTGGACAAGTGTTCTGAGGTTTCAAGGTGCTATCGGGGGCAGAGGGCAGAGCTGCTGGTCACAGAGCACCCACCCCTCACCAGCTGTCCCGGCCCTGTCTCCCACGCGAGAGGAGATGTGTGTGTCTGTCCATCATGCTTCCTGAAGGCAATGCCAGGCCTCATCCTCTCCTGGCCCCGCCACAACCTGCCCATGGCTGGTGTCCGGCACCCTTGTCCCTCTGGGCCTCTGCGTTGGTGGCGGGTGCCTGTGGCATTGTTAGTGAGAGGAGCCTGAGGAGCCTGCACGGTCAGGCCCCGCGTCGGGGCAGGGTCCTAGGGGAGTCCCTGCCTGTGCCCAATGCTTGCCTGCATGAGGCCAGCACTAACAGGTCACCCTTTTTTGTTGTCATTTAACATCTTTATTCCTGCCCTTAAAATGGGGAGGAAGGTTCCATAAGCTACATGTTTCCTAGTTAAGCTCTTTCCTATTGTTTATACGGTTTTGTTTGTTATACTCTTTGCACCTTAAACCCCCACGACGACCCCCATACCACCGCCTTCCCAGCATGGCTGGAGTGGGAGCAGGCCTGAGCCCCAGCGGGGTGGTGGGGGGACTGGGCCCCATCGGCCTGAGGGCTGAGGGGGTTAGAACCCCACTGACCTCCTTGTGAGGCCCACGGCGCTGGGGCAGGGGGTTGGGCACATTTTAATCATCAATAAACGAAGCACTTTATTCTGTACAGATGTGGGCAGGCCCGAGGAGCCCGAGTGATTTGAGGGTCTATAATCCAAGCCGCACAGCCCGCTCGCTCTCTGGGCGTGGAGCAGGCAGTGCCCTGGCCCGGTTGATTCGGGGGCTGCAGCAGGAGCAGTACAAGCCAGAGCCCACAGACTCACCCTCTGGGGCCCCTGCCGTCCTCCCGGGACTGACCGTGGGCCCCTCCCCGAGAGGAAGGCTTCCTGTCTGGCTCCCACCCCAAGGCTGGGCCTCCCAGGGCCCTGCGTTACTGTAGCTCTTTCCCTCTCTTGTACCTCTAATCTCTGGGCTTCCATGATGTCCTCAGGGACCCCCCTCCCCACGCCCCCACGCTTGCTATTTCTAACCTCTGGTCCCAGTGCCTGGCAGCTCTTCAGAGCTGGCTCACATTTTCCAAAAAAAAGGTTGATCTCCCCCCGATGGGCTTTAGGCCGGGAGCCCCATGGGTTCCCCAACCCCCTGTCACTGACACCAGGGTCTACCCTACCCTAGGGGCTGGTGGCCTTGTCACCAGCCAGCCCCACTGCAGCCTTAGCAAGCCTGGGGGCCTGGCCAGGCGGGGCCCCTGGTCTGTCAGGCCAGACTTTGACAAGCAGAGGCCAGAGATTGGGGGGTTGGGGGAGCTGGTTGTGAACCCCTGTCCTAAGACTTGGGTTCCCTGTTCTTTTATACCTTCCCTCTGAGGGCAGGAGAGGGGTCCAGACAGCAGGCGGGGCTCCGGTCACAATGGTCTTGGAGCTGTCTAAGTGGGTGCAGCCAAGTCCTCTCCCGGGAGGCCCCATCCCAGTGGGGACAGGAGCCCCATGTCCCTGGTGCTAAATGCTCTCTTCCCCTTGGGCCATTGGGTGGGAGCACCCTTCCAGCCAGACCTCGGGGGGCCTGAAGCAATAATGGAACCTCAGCAGTTCCAGTGTCAACGGGGTTCTTGTTTTACCAGCTTCTCCATTTCCTTTTTATTTCAAAAGTAAGCACCTGGATATCGGACTGAGGGTACTGGGGCTTCCTACCCAACCCCAGGGCTGGCAGTAGGTGGTGGGGAGGGGCTTAGCTCATCACCTCCACTGGGATTCGGCCGTGAGGAGGTCTGTCCATCTGGACTTCTCAGCCCCGTTGGCCAGATCTCAGGTCCGGAACCTGGGCCTGTCCCTGCCCCAGCTTCCCCAGGGCTCTCTGGTCTTGGGCCAGAGGGAAGCCTCCAGCCCCATGATCACAGTTCTGGGATCTGGGACTGGCCTTAGAGTCTGAGTCTCTGACTCTGGCATGTGCTGCCACAGTGCCCCTCACAGGGGTGGCAGCATGGCTGTGCCCAGGCCTGTGGGCCCCCGATGTCTGGTCATGTGTGGCCACCCCACAGCCACAGAGTGTGTGGGGAACAGCAGGTGGGTGAGTGAAAAGAGTGAGGGGAATAAATTCAGTACAACTGTTTCTTGGCCCAGTCTCTTCTTTACATGTTGCCTGCCCGGACTATCGGCTAGATTTAAAGACTTGAACCAGAGCAAGGAACCAGGCAGCTCGGCTGCAGACAGCATGGACATCATGCCCTGGACCCCATCTCCCTCCCTTACGGTGGGCTGAGCTTTGGGGAACACCCAGAGACCGGAGCTGAGGCAAGAGCAGAGGTGCACCCCAAACGGGTGCTGGGTCTTTGAGGGGGTGCAGAATGGGCTTGAAAGAGGAGAGGTCCTGGGGCTCCTAAGGTCGAGGCCCTGAAGGCAGTGCCATAGGAGGCCAGGGCCCCTGCAGGTGTGGTTTTCTGTGAGCACCAGGTGTGTAGCCACCGGGGTCCCTCCCATTCATGCTCGGCACTGGGGGTGCTGTGACGAGCCCTGTGGACTCACTCCTCCCCTCGTGGGCGGGGATTCTGGAGGGGCCAGGTATCAGAGGTGCTGTGGTGGGTGCCTGGGAGGACAAAAGCTCAGATGAAAGACAGGTAGTGGCCTCTGAGGCAGGTGGGGCTCTAGGCCCAGGGATCTGTGGTGAATGAGGCCCCTGTTTCATGTCACTTAGCTCTGGATGCAGGGGGCGGGGTCTGACTGGGAAGCGGACCGGAGGCCGGTGGGTGGTGCAGGTTCCCAGGCGTGGATGCTGCCTGTTCACACAGGCCCGCTTTCTTGGTCGAAAGGAACAGGGGCTCACTCAGGTCACCCTAGAAAAAGGCTTGCCAGCAGACCGAGGCCTGGCTGCTCCCCTGGTCTCGTGGCTGGTCGGCCTCTCTGTTTCCACTCTCTTCCTTCTTGCTACCCATCCATTTGCCTGTCACCTCTACACAGCCTTTTCCTCCAGCCCCACCCCACCTCCCTCATCCTCAAAGTACAGTTGACCCTTGAATAATGTGGGGGTTAGGGTCACCGAATACAATGCACTAGAAAATCTGCATATAACTTTTGATTCCTCCCCAAACTTAGCTACTCAGTCTACTGTTGACTGGAAGCGTTACCACTAACAATCACGCAACACAGATTTTGTATCTTATCTCTACTATATACTGTATTCTCACAATAAAATAAGCTAAAAAATGTTATTAAGAAAATTACAAAAAAAATACATTTATAGAACTGTACATATTTATTGAAAAACTAGAGGCCCGATGCACAAAATTAGTGCACTTGGGTGAGGGTGCGGGTCCCTCAGCCCGGCCTGGGCCCTCTCACAGTCCAGGAACCCTTGGGGATGTCTGACTGACGGCTTAGGCCTGGCAGTCGGACATCCTTTGTGTGATTGGGGCTGGGGAGGGACATGGCAGGTTGGCCAGCCAGGGAGGGACTGCGGGAGGGCTCCAGGGTGTGTCTGGCCTGTCTCACTCAGTCCTGATAGGCTGGACCCCAGCAGCAAGCTAACCTACCGGTCAGAGTGCCTGCCCTCTGGTGGTCAGTGCACGTCATAGTGAGCGGTTGAGCGGCCTTAGCTAAATATTACGCTTTGGTTGAACAGACGACTTAGCATATTAGGCTTTTATTATATAGGATTTATTATATAGGATACCATGTATAAGTGGAGCCATGCAGTTCAAACCCTCATAGTTCAAGGATCAACTATATTTCCAAGTTCACCCTCACATGGCATGTGCATGGAAGGCTGGGAGGCAGAGGCCGCTGGGTGGCTGGGGGCCATGAATGGTGGGCACCACAGTTGGCATCTCTGTGCACTCTCCTCCGTTTTGCTCTTTGGGCCCAACCAGCTCACGAACACCTGGTGGCCTGGAACATGGGCAGAGCAGCGCTGGCTGCTGGACAGAGCTGGCCTTCCTTCCTTCTAGGGCACAGCAGGGGCAGTGAGATGAGGACGTGATGCGCCCCTGGCTCAGCAGTGCCCTTGGCCCCTGATTACGTGGCTTTTTAGAGTCATGACTGGTAAGTCAGGATAGGCTGGGTACAGCCAGTGGCATTAGATACATTCACATTGTTGTGCTGCCATCACCACCATCTATATCCACAGACTCTTTTCATCTGGCAAAACTGAAACTCTGCACCCTTTCGTAGTTACTCCCTGTTCCTCGTGCCCACTCCCAGCCCCTGGCACCCAGCATTCTACCTACTTTCCTTGTCTATGAATCTGACTGCTCTCGATCCCTCCTATAAGTGGAATCATGCAATCTTTGTCCTTCTGTGACATGTTTTTTCACTGAGCTTAATGTCCTCAAGGTTCATCTGTGTTGTAGCATATGTCAGGATTTCCGTCCTTTATAGGCTGGATAATATTCCAGTGTATATGTGTGTATACCACATTTAAAAATCCCTTTATCTGTCTATTGTCTATTGACATTGGGTTACTTCCACCTTTTGGCTATTGTGAATAATGCTGCAATGAACGTGGGTGTACAAATATCTCTTTGAGACTCCGCTTCAACACCTTTGGGTATATTATCAGAAGTACTAGATCATGTGGTAATCCTATTTTTATGACAAACTGGCATACTGTCTTTCATAGTGGCTGTACCATGTTTACATTCCCGCCAACCAGTGCACAAGGCTTTCAATTTCTGTACATCTTCTGTTTGTTTGTTTTGTTTTGATGTAGCCATTCTAATGGGCATGAGGTGGTATCTTGCAGTTTGGGCTTAATTTCCTTAGTGATTAGCATCATTGAACATCTTTTCATGTGCTCATTGGCCATCTATGGGTCTTCTTTGGAAAAATTTCT